GTATGTGGTGCTGAGGATCGAACCCTGGCAGCACGCAAGCCAGGCGAGCGCGCTACCGCTTGAGCCACATCCCTAGCCCAGAAGCCAGTCTTAAAAGACTGTATTAAATGTTTCCACTTATATGAAATGTCCTGAATAGGCAAATCCATACAGACATAAAGTATATTAATAGTTACCTAGGGTTGAGGGAATGTAGGTAGTAGGTAGTAAAACATTTTCTACTGTGATGAAAATGTTCTAAAACACATGGTAATGATTGTATACCTCTGAATATACTAAATACTTTGAATTATACACTATTTTTTTTTCTGAGACAGAATCTTTCTATGTTGCCCAGGTTGGTCTCAAACTTGTGGACCCAATGATCCTCCCACTTCAACTTCCTGAGTGGCTGGAACTACAAGTATAAACCACCTCATCTGACTTTCAATTACACACTTTTTTAAATGGATAACTTGTATGGAATATGAATTATGTCTCAATAAAGTTTCTTAAAAACAGAATATACCATCCTCTGCAGTACTCTTTTAGCTGCAAAATCCCCAGTTCATGTTACTCAGAGCTTATCACTGATGTATCTATATTAATTGTCTCGGCAAGGTATTCATTTTTTAATTTATGAATTTAGATTTATGAATACCAAAAAAAAGTAAATGGTAACCATGAAAACTAACCTTAACTCATGATGAAAGAGAAATATTCAGCACTGAAACAGATCAAATCCACCAAACCTAGAGATAATTCTCGGTTAGAAACATAAAACTGTATAATATTGAATACTGGACTATCCTCTTTGAAACAACCCTTCTAAAAGGGACAATGGCTGTCTGTGTCATCCACATTATCTAAACTCTTTTATGTTTAGCTTATAGAACTCATTAAAGGAGGTTTCAAGGTTTGGTTTATCATATTCTGTGGTCTGAATGTTTGTGTCTTCCCAAAATTCACATGTTGAAATTCTAACCACCAAGGTCAATGTTATAATATAAGGAAGGTGGTTAGGTTGGAGTAGAAGCCTCATGAACAGGATTAATGTCCTTATAAAAGAAATCTAAAAGACACCACTCATCCTTTCATCATGTAAGAATATAACTAAAATGGGCTGTGTATAAAACAGGGCAGTCCCTCACCAGGCACTGAATCTACCAGGGCCTTAATCTCAAGACTTCTAAGTCTCCTAACCTGTGAAGTGACTTTTGTTGCTTATAAGCTACCCAATTTATAGTATTTTGTTACAGCAACCCAATGAATAAGATTCCACATTTATTCATGTCCTTTGGGATGGTATATTTCCTAATATCCTAATATCTTTATTGCTTTTCAGGGCAAAGAAGTACTTCCATTCATTCCATTGGTCCACGGCATAGCCTTCTTGGTCTTTCTTCAACTTTGTGATGTGACTAGAACTACAAAAGCATCCTGAAAGTGGGTGTACTCTACTTTTACATAAGGGCATGTCATTATCTTATTTATAAAGCTCTTCTCTATGCTATATATACTTGCTTAACTTTTTTGGGCCACRACAGCAAACAGAAATAATCCCTTGAGACAGGTGTTATTAAAAACTACTCAGAATGGTGAAGTTTTGTTTATCTCAAAAAATATTATCTAAATTTTCCTCTACTGAAACTCATCTGCCACTGTTCCAATCTCTAGGCTTACATTTTGTTCCCTCCCCCTTTCTCACACAAAGAAACCCTAGGGTCTCTGAAAAAAACAGAATCAGAGGTCTTTTCTCTTCTTTTGTTCTTACCAGGAATTTGAATTGAGTGGTATTATATGCATAAAAGTGATCCACACATATATTTCTTAAGTCTATTCATTACCTAGAACTAAGCCTAACATATTTTCTCTTTTCATAGATTCTCTCCCTCTATAAAGCAGTCATTTGTCCTTCTAAAAATCCTTTCAACACTTTTTATTTGATTATATTTGGATAATATTCCCATTATACCTATATTTGGCTAAACTATATAGCTTTCCCTAATATTAAAGAATTGGGTTTCACTACTCAAGTTATCTCAAGTGCCCATGATAGACACATTTCTGTTATTTAAATACAGAATTTCACTTCTTGAGTATAAAAATCCTGTAAGAGACTGTTCTGATAACTTTCTTTGTGTGCTCCCATTGTTAATGTATCTGAGGGGCAATTTTGGTTTCTATGATTCTACCATGTAATCAAAGATTCCAGTTTTTATGTTTTAGGCTACATTAACCTTTACTTTTTCATCTATATCACTTTGTGATGCCATAGTCACCCTCTGAGATTTCCAAGGCATTTGTATAGAGTTCCACATCCTGGTTTGCCCCCTCTGGGACCCCCTACTACTAACAGGGCTGTGTTCCTAAACTCTTACAATTTTACTGACCAGTTCTCAATTATAAAGTTCTTCTTCCTCCTATACTATCTCTAGTTCCATTGGTAATCTGATGCTGGTGTCTCCCTCCCCACATAGCCCCAGACTACTTACACAAGATGCTGATCTCGGATCTTGCGCAGCTGTATCAGGTCAGGTTTGATACTATTCATTTTTTTATCTATTTCCCGGTTGTCCAAAGCTTGTTTCTTCAAATCCTGCTCTAGACGCATTTTGCTGTCATGAATCTCTCCAAGACGTGATTTCAATTTATCATAATTCATCATAATTCTGTGAAAATATTTGATAATTAAGGCTAAAACAACAAAGCAGAAAAATCCTGTAGCATGAATATGGTCCTCAAAAAAAAAATTTTTTTTTTTTTGGGGTACTGGACATTGAATCCAGGGGCACAGGGGCACTTAACCACTGAGTCACATCCTCAGCCTTTTTAATATTTTATTTAGAGATAGACCCTAAGCAACTCAGCAAACCCTAAGTGCTGAGGCTGGCTTTGAAYTTATAATCCTCCAGCCTCAGCCTCCAGACCTGCTGGGATTACAGGTATGTGCCACCGTGCCCAGCTCAAATATTTTTGTTTTTAAGAGATAGTCCCTTGCTATGTTACCCAGGCTGGTCTTGAATCTGGGCTCAGGTGATTCTCCTGCCTCAGCCTTCTTGGTACAAGAACTGCAGGCAAATGCCACCTATGCCTGGCTACTATCCTAAAAATATCCTAAAAATAAGCATGGTAGGCATTTGTTGTTTTTGCCTGATCCATTCCTAGTCTTCTGGAATGGCAACATGATGTTCCTTATAGGTAAGAATTCTCTATCCTCATCTCAGATCCAGGGGTAGACACACACAGCCCAGGCTAGCCAATAAGAGCATTTCATGTGATCCTATCCCCATCCTCAGGCCATTATGATTGATTCAGTAATAAGAATAAGACCCCAGCTGACCCAGTGAGTCAATTCTAGGAATTTTGCTAGAACTATTGTAAAAAAAAAAAAAAAAAAGAGAGAGAGAGAGATTCTCTCTTTCCACTGGGGTTGCTAAATTATGAATATGTGATCCTAGRATTTCCAGGAGTCACACTGCCACCTCACAGGGGAAAACTGCCTAAGGATAAAGGCATCTCAGAGAAAAGTTGAGCCAAAAGACAATGTAAAAAGAATCCCAGGGCTGGGTTGTAGCTCAGTGGTAGAGCGCTTGCCTAGCATGTGTGAGGCACTGGGTTCAATTCTCAGCACCACATAAAAACAAATAAATAAATAAGCTGGGTGCAGTGGCACATACCTATAATTCCAATTGCTTGGGAGGCTGAGGCAGGAGGACAGTGAGTTCAAAGCAGGCTCAGCAAAAGCAAGGCACTAAGCAACTCAGTGAGACCCTATCTCTAAATAAAATACAAAATAGGGCTGGGGATATGGCTCAGTGGTCAAGTGCTTCTGAGTTCAATCCCTGGTACCTAATAAATAATTCTCAGCACCACACATAACTAAATAAGTAAATAAATAARTAGGTAAATAGGTAAATAAATAAATAAGAAGGCCCATGGACAGCTAAAAAAAAAAAAATTTAAAAAAAAGATTCCCAATGACCTTGTATAGGCCCTGGACCCTTTACTTGTTCAACCATGGCTGAACAAGTAAAGCCATATGTATGACATTTAAGAGATAGCACAGCCCAGCAATTCAGAACAATGACTTCGCAATTAATATACCTAGCTTTAATCTCTGTCCTGCCACTTAGTGTGGGGCTGTGGGCAGATTATTTAACTTCTCCGTGTCTTCATTTCTTTTATCTGCCTAAAAATGGACTTCTACAATAGTACCTACCTTCATTAAATTATTATGATAATACATGTAAAGGGAATAGAGAATATTGCCTAGCACCCCTTGATAAGCACTCAAAAGATGGTGACTATAAGCTCTTCAAACACATGAAGTTTTGCTATATTCCAAATCATTTTAAGCAATTATTCACATTACTCATTTGTCCCTCAATAATATGTGGCTTAATTCTCACACATTCCAACATGATATTATCCACAGTTTATGGAGGATGAAACAGACTTAAAGAGATTAAGTAACTCACCCAAGGTGGCAAAGCTAGTAAACAGCCAATGCAAGTTCAAGGTCATGATTTTAACCATCAAATTAATACTGACTCCCAGGATGTAGCTCTATATTCAGGCACACATAAGTTTTCCAACAATGTGGTACCAATATGACAAATAGTTTTACTTTGCCATTGCATATGGTTTACCATCCATACATTTAGGCCTCCCAAATCCTTTCTGCACCCTGAATTCCAAATCTAAATAACCAGCTGCCTGCCTCCCAGACAGCTCTATTTAGGTTCTCATTGGAACAAAACTCATTAGGTCCAATCCTGAACTCTCATCACATACTTTCTTTCTTTTTTTATTAATATTTTTAGTTGTAGATGGACACAATTACCTTTATTTTGTTTATTTATTTATTTTTACATGGTGCTGAGAACAGAACCCAGGGYCTCACACATACTAGGCAAGAGATCCACCACTGAGCCATACCCAGCCCATCATCACACACTTTCTATTTTGGTAAATAACACCATCTCTCAGTTGCTCACACTGAAATCTAGGAATGATCTTTACTGTCTCCTATGCCTGCCACATCTGGTAAGAATTTTTATCAACTCATCCTTCTTTTCCACTATTGCTCTGATCTAGGCCCTCACCATCTTTTAACCTGATAGCCACTCTCATWGTAGCTACCTATAATTGTCAGGCTGATCTTCTTTCCTAGAGTCTTTTCTTTTCCTGCAGTGATACAGCATTTGACCCAGAGGTGCTTTACCACTGAGCTACACCCCCAGCTCTTTATTTTCATTTTTTATTTTGAGGCAGGGTCTTGTTAAGATGCTTAGGCACTTGCTAAATTGCTATGGCTGGCCTCAAACTTACAATCCTCCTTCCCCGCCTCCTACTCACTGGGATTATGGGCATATGCCACTGCACCCAGTTTACCTATAGTCTTATTACACTCCAATTTATGCTTAGACAACTGCCAAAGTTGACTTTCAGTTAAAAAAAATATTCATTAAGTACCCATTGTATACTCCAAAGGACCATATAGGTATTGAGGTTATATCAGGGAAAATGAGCCACCATGCCTGCTTTCAATGAGTTTGCAGTTGAGTGGGTATGGCATTCAGTAAGTATAACACTAAGGATCAGGACCACACACTGTAGGGACAATGACAAAAGCCCCTAAAGTGGACTGGGGAAATCAGGGAAGATTTTCTAGAAAAAAGTCAAATCTAATCTGAGTCTTAAACATGAACAGAAGGTAACAATTTGGAGATGGCGAGTGAAAAAAGAACACAGAAGAGAGGAGGTTCAGTTTGGTGCCATTAATATGAACATTARGTTGTTCACTATAATAGGAATGTGTAGTTTTCGGGGATGAAATCATGCAAGGTAGGCATTATTGGGAAAGAAAAGAAGTCTTATCTCACTGGCATACTGGGAAATATTATATACTTGACGTATTTGCAGACAGACTTACCGTTCAATCTCCTTTTCATTTCCCTCTCTGCGAAATCGCTCAATATATTCTTTGCTGTGTTGTTCTTGTGTGTGACATTGCTCTTCAAATATTTTAATAGTTTCATTAAAAGCTTCAATTGCAGTCCTCTTCATCTGTATTTCCTACAGAAAAAAAAGAAATGACATAAATCCCATTATCTTTATTATTTTTCATAACCTTGATCTTAAATTCTGTAATCCTAGTTATAATTCCATATAAAACCCAATTAAGGGCTGGGGATGTGGCTCAGTGGTATCGCGCTCGCCTGGCATGTGTGCGGCCCGGGTTCGATCCTTAGCACCACATACAAAGATGTTGTGCCTGCCAAAAACTAAAAAATAAAGATTAAAAAAATTAAAAAAAAAAAAACAATTAAGATGGCTAAAACAAGACACTTTATTCAACTTCTACCCTATCACTCATACACAAAAACATTATTCAAACTGTAAAAGAAAAAAAACACTACCTGAAATAAGACTAAGCACCACAGAAAGGTCTCCAAGCTGCCAAGAGACTGACCCTGAACACCTGTCATCAGGATCAATTTCTACCTTTGCACCTATTTTTGTGCTGAACCCCCAAAAGGTTCTGAAGGAGTAAATGGATAAAGCTCAGAGTCCATGTACCAAAGGGCAAAGTCTTATTCCCAGTAGAGTCCTACAGAATCTATTTATTCTTACTTTCATTTCTAAAGTACATACTTAATTTTCCAAACAGATTCATTAGTAAATTAATCTGATTAGGAGCAAAGAATGAAAAGGGGAGAAAATAGCTCCTAAGGGTAGATTCACTAAGAATAATAAGATGAAAAACTAAAAACTCAGGCTGGGGATGTGGCTCAAGTGGTAGCGCACTTGCCTAGCATGCGTGAGGCACTGGGTTCGATTCTCAGCACCACATAAAAACAAAGTAAAGATATTGTGTCCACCTAGAACTGAAAAATAAATATAAAAAAAAAAACCTAAAAACTCCACAAAACAAACGTAAGTCCAAAAGTCCAGTAGGTTAAGYCCTTCAGCATCAGGGTAAATGGTCCTATATATTTCAACAAGTTGCATTTGAATCAAGATTCCCCTAAAATCTTCAAAAAAGGTCGGGGGGCCCTATATTTTGTTTAGTTTACTTTTTAGAAAGGCAATAAATCTTCATAAAGGTCTAGAAAGATTGCTATCCTAAATATCTTTAATTCTAGAAGTTTTGATACTTACGGGATAATTCCTCAATTATCCAACTTTTACTAATTTAAACTAATAATTACTGAAAATTACTATATAGAAAGTCCCATCAGAGGGTAAAGAAATTTTTGAAACATAAAGCATGCCTTCACTTTATGTTAGGTATAATAGATAGGTAGAATAGATTTCTGAACCCTAACAAGGCCTGATTTCAAGTCATGGCATGGAAACCAAGTGAGATTAACTAATTATTTATTGTTTTATGGAAACTTCACAGAGGAGATGACATTTGAGCTAAGTCTTAAAGAGTAGGGTAGAGGAAGAAAATGCAGCCCTGCACACAGAAGGCATGGTATGAAGTATATATGAAATAATAGGATATGTTCCAGGATCAATAATTACTCAGTGGGACTAGTGATAAGAGGATTAGCAAATGAGGGAAGCTAGAAACTTGTGATGGGCCATAAAGTTGCATGTATATCACACATATTCAGATAATACTAAACACTCACTGGAATGTTCATATCTAAATATCTAGCTGCAGATTCTACAACTCTCAAATTATAATCAACTCTTAAATTATGGAGGGTCTTGACTCCCTTGTAAGATTAAAAGTTACCCATAAAGCTCTGACCCTGAATCTTCAAAGAAAACACCCAAACTTTTGACTCTACTAACACCAGTATATGTACTGGTAGGTAGTGAAGCAAAAGGAAAAGTATTCGAAATCACAATCAAAACTGCAGCTCCCCCATACACAATGCCTCTACATCTAMCACCAAAACTATAAAGCTACTTGTATCTGTGCCCTTTCTCTATCTTCTCCCTTTATCTACAGGTGCTACATGTCTCACCTCCTCTTTCTCAGGTACTTCATTTTATCACATTAGCCAGCCCCTTTTACATTATCAGCTTTCCCTGTCTAATGGTTCGTTCTCATTACCTTACAAACAAATTTGGGGGGAAAAAAAAAAAAACTCTCTTAATCCTAAATTCTCTTAGAGTCACAGTTAAGTTCTTGAAAGAGTTATTTAGTGGGTGTTTGTATGGGGGTCTCTCTTTGCCCATACACATCAATTCACTTACAACCATTTAATTTTTTTTAATCACTTACAACCATTTAATACTAAGTAGATAGCCAGACACAGTGGCATTTTCTTGTAATCCAAGCTACTAGAGAGGTTCAGGCAAGAAGATCACAAGTTTAAGACCAGCCTCAGWAATTTGTTGAGACTCTGTCTCAAAATAAAAAATAAAAAGGGCTGGGGATGTAGTTCAGTGGGCTCAGTGGTAGAATACCCCTGATTAGATCCCCAGCTCCAAAAAAGAAAAAGAAAGAAGAAAAAAGGCATTATTAATACTAACTGATACAAAATTATACCCTTAACCAATAAAAAAGCAACTGAAGATCTTCAAGAGAATTATAGAAAATATAATGTAACTCTAACACTGTATACCCATTAGCTCAAACAACAAAAATATACTAACCTGGGATGTTCTGGTATATTCTTCATATAGCCTATCATACTCTTTACTCTTTTCCTGATACTGAGAGTGGTACTCTTGCAGTTTTTTACCTACTGCATCGATGTTATCTTCTTTTACCAACTGATCCTACACAGGGAAACAAAAGAAAAAATGTTAACAATTCTGACATAAGTTCTTCCATGTCTATAGGTTTTTAAATTGTATTTTAGCTTTAGAAGTTCAAGCCACATTAAGATCAAGCATACAAAAGCACTAAATCCTTCTGTTAACACTAAGATCAGCCTTTAAATCACATAAACATCATTAGGACTTTAAAAATTAAGAAGTAACTAATTAGAACAAGTAAATTTTTTTTAAAAAAAGAAGTGAAGTATAAGTGGGAAGCATATAAAGTTAATAACCACATGTAATGGGTTATTAAGAAAGGGTAGCCACAAAATGTTTCAAATAWACCTAAGAAATATCTAAAATATTAAGTAGGAAATTTTAAATGACTAGATTTCTTTTTTTGACTGATAAATAGAATCAAATGAGGTTAAATAATGACTTTCTCAATAATTATCAAGAACTTCTGTAATCATACCTGTTGGTATTTGGAGACTGGGTACATAAGCTTCACATCGAGTTTGGGATTATACTGAGCAAGAGATTCATGATGATAGTGGTTAATGAGCTCCACCACAGAATTAAATGTCAGAGGATCAGAAAAGCCATATTTACCATCCCGATGATAGATCTTTATTAACTTATTATTGCCTCCCTTCCTGTGAACAACAAGACAACAACTGTTGATTTTTCCCCAAAATTCTACTGAAATATTACGTTCATAGGGAGATAGAAAGTTTGGTTCACATAATAAACAAATTTTACTATGTTCATAAGGCTAGAGACAGTGAAAAGGCATACACATAATTATGAATGTGAAAGTATACATAATATTATTTTCACATATATTTATTTTGCCCATAAATACCTTGGTTATTAAAGATCAACATTCTATACATTCAGAATCAATGAAGTTAGCCCCCCAAAAAAATCACTTAAGAAAAATAAGTAAATTGTATCTTTTGTTCTTTTTCTGAATGAAGCTTCTAATTCAAATTCTACCAAGGATTACAGATGTAGCTCTGTGGTGGAGTGCTTGCCTAGTACACCAAAGGCCCTAGGTTGAGCCATGGCACCACACATTAATAAATAAATAAATAAATAAATAGTAATCAAGTTCTACCAATATTGTTTAGGACAGAGACAAACTCTTTAGGACCTAAAGATAGGCAGTTCTGTTTTTTGGCAGCCATCTCTAAATGAAGGTGATAATAATCATTGTCACACAATCACCAACATACTCAAGTGTTTTGTTAATGYACAAACATAATTAAGTTCCTTGAATGATTTATGGCTGGGTAACTGATCTAGCACCTTATACTACCTTTTATACTTGTTTATAATACTTGGAAATGAATATCTAAATGTTATCATAATATGTAAATGATTCAAGTTACTCAAGTGCTTCACAAAGCATAGCTTTTGAAGAGTCATGTATATCACAGATGTAATTTGATGCTTAAATTGCTCAGACCATCTTTATTTACTGAGTCCTAGCCAAATGATACCTTGAAAGATAATTTATAACCAAAATTTAAAATAGCAATGTTTTACAAGTATCATATGGAACAATCTAAAACCACAGCAGATAAATACCTTACAGCATAGCAAAATACTGTACCATTCCCATTCAACTTTGAACAGCATACAAGCCTAATGGAAAAAATAACGCCCCCATATGGTTTAAGTCATGCTATTCATTATAAATGATAAATGAGACATTGGAATTTGTGAAAGGTCAAATACGATATGTTTGAACCTATGGACTAGTTTAAATTATTGCTTAGAAAATATTATTTAGAGGGAACACATAATCATATATAGTTACTATAAGTGTGTACACTTACATTTACTCACACTAAATTCAAGCTGGTCTCTCCATTAAAATTAAAAGGCATTCAATCATTCAAACAAATGAATTTAACATCTACTATTACCAGGAATTATACAAACCACTGTAGATACAATGATAAACAAACAGTATGCTGTTCTAGTTCATGATCTCATGGACCTTGAGGAACATACATCCATCTTTCATTTTATCAAAGATTAAACAGTCCTCAAAATATGGGAATGAGAAAAAGAAACAAGATGATTTCAACATTTTTATATTAAAAATTCAAATAATGAAAATGACATTTATTTATTGGCATAAAGTTACAAAAAAGAACTTTTTTTTGAGATGCCTATTGAACATTCAAAAGCAGATGATATAGCAACCTTAAAAGAGTCTGAAGTTCAGAAGTAAGGTCTGGACTAGATAATTCAGGAGTTGTYAGCCTGTAGGTGTTATTTGAAATTGATAATAGCTGGACATATGAAGAGGTACAAGGTCTAAACCCCAGGAGACACCAGTGTTTAGTGATCAGGGATATGAGAAAGAACAAGCAAGAGACCAAGAGACTAATAAAGTAAAAGTGTGACATCCTAAAAATCAATTTTYTTCTTATCTTTTTTTTTACGTTTATGTAAAAATCTAGTTGCTATGCTTTTTTGTTCTATTTAATTATACATAACAGTAGAATGCTTTTTTATTTTTTATTTTTTTAGTTGTTGATGGACCTTTATTTTATTTATTTATATGTGGTGCTGAGACTCAAACCCAGTACTTCACATATGCTAGGCAAGCTCTCTACCACTGAGCCACAACCCCAGCCCAGYAGAATGCATTTTGACACTTCATACATAAATGGAGTGTAACTTCTCATACTTCTGCTTGTACATGATGTAGAGTTACACCAGTCATGTAATCATATATGCACATAGGGTAATAATGTCTGATTCATTCTTTTATCACCCCTACCCCCATATCTCTCCCTCTTTTCACACCCCTCTATCTAATCCAAAGTACCTCTATTCTTCTTTAACTCACCCCAGTGTGAATTAGCATCGGCATATCAGAGAGAACTTTCAGCCTTTGGTTCTTTGGAATTGGCTTATTTCACTTAGCATGACAGTCTCCGTTTCCATCCATTTACTAGCAAATGCCTTGATTTAATTCTCCTTTAAGGAGAGTAATATTCCATTATGTATATATACCACTTCTTTAATTTGTTAAAGGCCATCTAGGATGGTTCCATAATTTAGCTATTGTGAACTGAGCTTCTATAAACATTGATGTGGCTGTGTCACTGAAGTATGCTGATCTAAGTCCTTTGGGTATAAACTGAGGAGTGGGGTAACTAGGTCAACAGGTGGTTCCATTCCAAGTTTTCTGAGGAATCTCCATATTGCTTTCCATAGTAGTTACAGCAATTTGCAGCTCCACTAGCAGTGTATGAGTGTACCTTTTTCCCTATGTCCTCGCCAACATAAAAATAAATTTTTGAAAAAACATTTCCACAAAGAGGAAATTATAAACAGGTCCAAGGATCACTGAGTGTGGCAAAGTACAGATAACTAAGTGACCCTGACCAAATGGTTTTAGTAGAAAGATGAGGATGGAAGCCTGACTGAAATGAATTCAAGAAAATGAAAGAAAGGGAAGAATAAATGCCCACAGACAATTATCTCAAGGAATACTGCTGCAAACAAGAGAGAAATGTGGAAGGAGATATATGGTCAAGGGAACTTTATTATTATTCTTAAATAGGAGATAACATGTCATATTTATATTCTAAAGGGAATGATTTAGTACAGAGACAAAAATTGTTGATCCAAAAAAGAAGACAAGATCATTCCTAGAGTGATATCCTCTAATAGATTAGAGGGATAGGACAGGATCCAGCTTACAAATAGAAATGTAGATCCTGAGCCAAGTACATTGATGTACACGCCAGTAATCCCAGCAATTCAGGAGACTGAGGCAAAAGGATTACAAGTTCCAGGCCAGACTTAAAACTTAGCAAGGCCCTGTCTCAAAATAAAAGGAGATATAGTTCAGTGGTAGAGTGCCCCTCAGTTCAATCCCTAGTATTGGAAGAAGAAGAAAGAAGAAAGAAGGAAGAAGAAGAAGAAAAAGGGAAGGAAGGAAGGAAGGAAGGAAGGAAGGAAGGAAGGAAGGAAGGAAGGAAGGAAGGAAGGAACAATCTGGAACAATCATCCACCAGAATAAAACAAAAGCAGATTATTCACACTAATATGCAAATAGGTTGATATCTAATGGCAACAGGAGTATGAAGGAGTTCTCTTCTGACTGAGTCTAAATTCTCAGTGAAAGAGGAAGTTAACTTCTTAAATAAAAGAGGGGAAAGAGTTATTGATTTAAGAGGAAAAAAAGAATGTGTGAAATTGTCACCTAAGAAAGTGGAAGGATGAATGAATTATGGAAATGCAGAAATTAAGCTGGGTGGTGGCCCACTTAAAGTTAGCAGTCAAAAATTCAATGTGAGACCAGTCAGTATGGCTTTTTTTTTTTTTTCTACATTGAACTGTCCAGGTATARGCAGGTATAGTTGAATTTAAGAAGTATTAGAATTTGTCTAGGTAACTATAATGCAGGGAGAGAGGAGGAAGTTTTTGAGAGTTCACTCATAAAATAATTTTTTGTTTTGAGACAGACTCTCACTGTTACCCAGGCTGGCCTCAAGCTCCTGGGCTCAAGAGATCCATCAGCCTTCCAAGCAAGTAGTCTGTAGTTCCAAGTAGCTGGGATTATAGATGTGTGCCACCAAACCCATAGCTTTTAACAAAAGTAATTTTAATAACAGACCATGGACTCTAAACAGAGGAGGCAAAAAGAGAAGACATGGAGGAATTAAGGAATGGTGAATTTTTAATAATATGTACATCTCTGTGTGTCTGTCTGTGTGTGTGTGTGTGTGTGTGTGTTTCACTCACTTCATTCTACTTTAATAGAGGAAAATATCCTCCTGGTATTCAACTATCTGGACCAATGCCTAGCAGATAAGAGAGTCTTAAAGATTTGTTAAATATCCAGAATTTCTATAATGAATACTATTTACTGATTTAAACAATATCAGTTACTGAACTAAAAAACTTCCTTGGACTGGGGTTGTAGCTCAGTGGTAGAGCGCTTGCCTGGCATGTGTGAGGCACTGGGTTCGATTCTTAGCACTGCATATAAATAATGGTTCATCAACAACTAAAAAAAAAAAAAAAACTTCCTTATTGCCTATTCTCTGCAGTCTAGTTTCACTCATTCTTTTCGTTTGAGGATCACCAGTGACTTCTGCTAAATCCAGACTCTGTCCCCTAGACCCCAGCCCTCCCCCTTCCTAGTATTTCTTTCTCCCATGACTTTTTTTTTTKGGGGGGGGGGCGGGGATACCAGCAATTGAACCCAAGGGTGCTTAACCACTGAGCAACATCCCCAGCCCTTTTTTCTATTTTACTTAAAGACAGAGTCTCATTGAGTTGCTTGGGCTTCACTAAGTTGCTAAAGCTGGCTTTGAACTTGCGATTCTCTTACCTCAACCTCCTGAGCTCTCCCGTGGCTTTGATGACACTATTTTTTGCTTTCAACCTCTCAAACTATTCTTCCTGTCTTCTTCCTGATCTAAATACTGTTATTCCCTCAATTTTTTTTTTCTTCAGTCTCTACCCTATGTTCCCACTATACACTCTTTCTTTAAAATCCCATTTATKGGGCTGGGAATGTAGCTTAATGTAAAGCACTTGTCTAGCATATGTGAGACCCTGAGTTCARTCCCCAGTACTGCCAAATAAATAAATAAATCCCATTTATTCTACACATAGT